CTCTTCATGTTACCACTTAGATATTTTCTACCGACGTCCCTTTGTCTTTTACTCATATTTTGGCTTGTGTTCTTCAAAACTAAAAACTTATCTCTTTTTTTACTACTAAATTGCACAATAAAATAAAATAGTTTAATTAAACTAAAATAAATAAAAAATCCCTCTTACAAAATTAAAAGTAAAATTAACAAATGTAAGCAATTGATTACTGCAAATATCTTAATATAAATAAACAAACATTTAATATTAAGATTATTTATTAGACTTGAAAAAAAGTACTCTTAAAATTATCCAATAAAATTTATATTGTCTTAAATATAAAATATTTACTGAAAAGCGAGAAAAGTTTGCGTTAAACAAAAGTAAATAAAACTAATAGTAAACAAAATGAAAAATAATTATAGCATAAACAAACAAAAAATATATTACAAACATTTCAAAAGTAAATACAGCTTAATCTTTAACAATATAAAAGCTGCCGCCATGTTCATTGCTTGCCTCGTGAATTTTCGGAAATAAGTACTTCTGGAACTTTCGAAAGTAGATTGGAAACTAATATATTTTATACCATATACCGCAATAACTAAGATAAACTAAAAATAACAATAGACGTTACCATGCGCATTAAACGTTCAACGTTAACTGTACGAATTATATTAAGATTGATAGAAATTTATAAAAAAAAAATTACTGCCATTTATAATGATATGCTATAAATTGAGGGGCCTCTACCAAGCGCGGGGCCCTATTTGGAGCAATCGGTCAAATCGGCCTAAAACCGGCCCTGTATATATATATATATATAGATACATATATATATATATATATATATATATATATATATATATATATATATATATATATATATATATATATATATATATATATATATATATATATATATATATATATATATATATATATATATATATTTATTTATTTATTTATTTATTTGTTTATTGAGATAATGAGCCAATAAGTTTTTGTGTAATAGTTGAAATTATAAATCTTTCATTTTATAATAACACTTTAATAATTGGTTTATTAAATTAGTGTGGTATATCAAATGATAGAAAATTTAAAAGACTAAATAGTGGTGTAAATAACTCTATACTGCCAAAAAGGGACTGAGTGCATTTCCCTTGTATACCCATCTCGTAAAACTACCGCAAAGCAGGATCGGCTTTAGGCTCGGGCGAGTTAGTCCAATCGTTTCGCTACGGCTTGAGATCCTACATGGGGAAAAACCATGAAGTTCATCTAACAGCAAGTACAGTAAGAAAACGCCTGCAGCAAGCTGGTTTGAATGGAAGAAGCCTTTATTGCGACCTTATAACATCGCAAAAAAAAGAGTATTCGCGAAGTTGCACAAAACCTGGACTGTCGTACAATGGAATAAAATGGAGTGGAGTGATGAAAGTACCTTAACTGTTATCTGTAGAGCTAAAAGAGCTTATGAGAGGAGAAGAGTTAGTGAATGATTTAGTCTTTTGTGTGTTGGTGAATGATTTAGTCCTCTCATACAGTAAAGCATGGAGGAGGCTCTTTTATGGTATGGGGTTGCATGTCAGGATCAGGTGTAGGTCATTTATATTGTTGTACGGGCACGGTAAACAAGGGTAAATATTTGGAAATTTTAAAATAACAAATGAAACCATCAGCAAACAAACTATTTGGTAAAAAAAACTATTTTACTTTCAACAAGACAATGCTCCTTGCCACAAAGCTAAGAAAGT